AAAGTTTGAATTAATATTTTCTTTTTCTTTCAGGTAAGTGTTTCCAGTTGATACAATATACTGTCATTTTGTCATCTTCATTAACAGGTAAGATACTGTTTTCATGATGTAGCTGACATTCAATGGTTACTACTCTCCCCAAAATTTTCAAACAAAATTTGCCAGTTTAAACCTTCAACACCAAGCCTATTGTAATACCATCGATATCAAGCCAATTGTAATATCATCGATATCAAGCCAATTGTAATACCATCGACACCAAGCCTATTGTAATAATAGGCTTAGCATTTTGGCTTTTAGGCAACACAAGTTCAGTACCGGGCATTGGTTGTAATTGTCTCGAATAGTGCTCAGATGCTAGTTAATTAAAAATATTAAAATTTGTACACTTTGTTTATATCTGTTATAAATTTGTCAGATATATTGATGAATTTTTTTCCTTAATATATACTCAGAAATATTTGACTTCAAAGGTTATTTTTAATGGATATCCATATTTGAGCAGATGCTCCATTTATTTTTATTTTTTTTTAACTGTTTATTGTTGCACTCAAGAAAACAATAATAAAAATGTGCTTTCCAACAGGATTTGAACCTGCATCTCTATTTACTAGAGAAACCACTATCTAATCTGCTGTGCTCTAACCACTCAACTATGGAGAACTTCACAATCAAGTAGGGTTCTATTTACCTTAAAGCAAATTCACTTGTTCAGATTTTCTCAAAAGCCATATGTATCAGCTGAGTTTCATATCTATGACATAAAGCAATTTCTAAAGAATTAATGGATTTTTACACAAATATGTGTATACACTAAAAACAACATTTGAAATATTAATAATGTGTAAGATTAAAAAATAAAATCCATTCATTTTTTTTTATAAAATACTAACAAATGTATTCCTTTTACCTGGAGGGTCTGAATATTTGTTACAGACTGACCCAAAATGGCAACCTACTGGTCAGAACTCTGACAATACAAATTGAGTTAGGGTGGTTTGAACCCCATCAGTGTGGTATTCTGACAGTGTGGATTACTTTTAAGTTTTGATATAAAACCAAAAATGAGTAAAGACAGGAGGTTTGCAAGAATAGAAGAGTGAAGCCACCTCCCTGTTTACAGATTCCTTAGTTAAACAGGCCACCATGATGTGGTGGGTAGTTGGTCAACTGTTTGACATCTGTTCTCTCTTTCAACAAGAAATGATGCTACTACTACTGTAAAAAGGAATCTGAAAAAAAAATAGTCTCTTGTTGATTGAGTCTGTGATGTAATTTGGGGATCAGAAGAAATTAAGCAAGAAACATGAAACCAAACACTTTCTTGTTTATTATTCCTCATATGGAATGTTGACAATAATTAGTTGTCTTTAAGTTTTCACATGAAAATGTGTGAAATCAATAAGGTTGCAAGAATAGGAGAGTTTTGTCACTTCCTGGTTCCTTAGTTAGATAAATCACCAAGTAGTGATGGGTAGTTGACCATTCTGTTGACATCTGTTCCATTTCTCTCTCCTTTTCTCCAAGAAGCAATGCTACTACTATCTCCTGAAATAAAATGATCAAAAAAAAAATCTAAAGAAATTTATCTATTGTTGATTCAGTCTGTGATGCAGCATTGCTGTCTGAAGAATTGAAACCAGAGATGACACAAAATGCACCACCTCTCTTAAAAATCGTCAAAAGCAAAATTATCTCATTCTTATAAAAATTCTTTTTTTCTGCAATCTGGTGGATAAAGGGAATATAATTTTGATTTCTGTCTGGAAGAGGCTTTAGTCTTCATCTCTAAGCCGGTAGACATTAATTTCCTTTATTTTTAAACCAGAAACAAACAGCATGTTTATTCAAACACATGTACCAATAAAATATAATGTCTATAATATATAGCCAAATTAAAAAGAAATCAATTATTTGCTTAAAAATTACTTTATTTCAGGTTAGAAAATTTGGCAGATATCATGTTTCAAACATGATATCTGCCAAATTTCCCCATTGAAAGATGCACATTTCTTGTATAGGGTAATTGAGCCTTGCCTTGCTGTAATGGCTTCCTCTGACCTAAAGGTAAAGCCCATTTAACTTAAAAGTTGTTTCCCTAATGGAAAAACAAAAATACAGGTTAGATTCTTGTCAGGAGGTGCATTTTCTTTAGTATGACCCTTCAATTTCTAGGTCAGTAGATATTGATTTCCTTGTTTAAAGGAAAAAAACAGGGATATCTACTTGGACATGTGCACCCTTTAAATATGATGTTTATAGTTATAAGAATGGTTTCCCATGGCCTAATGGTAAGGCACACTTAGCTTAAAATGGTTTCCCTGATGGAAAAAGGAAATACAGAGTATATAATATTTTATAATGCTAAGAAATATATGAAACATCTGCACAGAGACAAAAATAGGTTATTCACAAACTACATCAACAATTTGCCAGCAACTCATGAGTTTTTAGTCGTATGCAGGTGTGTGCATTGTCTCCAATGAATTTGATTGATGAAGTTACAAAAAACTGCAATGTCTGGAAGGTAAATAAAAAAAAAAAAAAAAAAAAAAAAAATGCCTACCTGTCCAATAACATAAATTCTCCATTTTGCTATAGAATTTAATGAATTTGTTGCTATGGATCTCAAAGGATGGAAAACCAAGACATTGTTTTCTACATTTGACAGACATTGCAACTTGATTACATCTAGCAGTTGTCATCCGTATTAGAAAAGAACTAATTCTCTATCACACACTCTCTATGTTTTATAATTTTTTATATATATATATATATATATATATATATATATATATATATATATATATAGTATAGTCCACCAAAAAATGTATACACACTTCAGGAAAAGAAAAACTTGTATAGATATTGTAATACTAAATTTATTCTGACATCATGAGATTAATACAAGTTATTGTTGGATTTTACAATCACAAGAGATGCACAAAATGGTGGCCTTTAGCTTCCAGACAATTATTAATACAGTGAACTACTGCTTGGGCAACGTTGGCTTGAAGTGTCCAGTGAGATTGCTACACATGCATTTTCAATTTCATATCTCAGGGCCACCATTGTAGTCAGTTTTCTGTGATACACAACATCCCTTAGGATTTGTTGATGCTTCAGCCATGAAAGTAATGTAATCTGTCAAGAAAATGCTACAGTAAAGAGTATGTATGCATGTTATATATATATATATATATATATATATATATATATATATATATATATATATAAGAATATAAATTTGCACCCTGGATTTTTTAAATGTCTCTATTCCTGAAAGAATTACTCCTTTCTCAAACTAACATACATAACTATAAAAATATTTAAAAAAATTAAAAGGAAACTGTTCAATTCATAACGTTCTATTATTTAAAAAATACATAAATTAATACCAAACTAAAATAATTTAAATGTTAATTACATTATAAAAAAAATAAAAAATTTAGTTATTATTTATTCACTTGCATTTATTAGGCATTAATTTATGTCACTTAGCATCCTTCATATTTTACCTACACTTTTCCTACCTGTAATGGCATTCACCTGAGGTGGGTTGAGCCGGCTCCAATATTGGAGTTTCATGGAAATTTGGAATTCACAAGCGGTCCCCAACCCGCATGTATAGCACATGAGATTTGATTATAGTGGTGAAGGTTTCGTGCAGGACCATCCACACTTTTTTTGAAGGGCCTGATTACAGAGACCTGGTGCACTATGTGCCACAAGGATCCCAAACGACCCTCCGCAGGTTTTGAATTCAGAGTTTTTCTTCTCCTAGACCAGTTGCCATCCAAGGCTATAGAACCCAGTCTGTCCTGCTATTTACCCATAGCTGGAGGGAGAAGAAGAGGATTCACACCTTTCCCAAGGGTATGAGCTTGTAAGTGAATGTCATGGATTCGACTGGAATTTGAACTCGTCTCTCCGATTCCTCAATCCAAGCCGCTATCCATTACTCCACCATGCCTCCTCTCTCTACACTTTTCAGTTAGCCTTTATTTATGAGTGTCTCTTAAATTTAAAAATTTGGAAAAACTCACATTTTTAGTTTTGTTTATCAATACTTGTTGCAAAATAAGCTTCTGACATTTGTCTTGATAAAGTCTATCAGAGGATGAAACATGCCAGCTAAGATAAAGTTTTCCTTTTATCTCTATTTATATTGTCCTTTTACATATATATTTTTAGTTATGTCTAAAATTTTACACATGTGTATGTCTATGTTGTGCATTTGTGTCTTAGATATGCTTGTACCATTTAATATACACACAAATACATGCACAATTTGATTAGGTTTGAAATAAAGCATTGGAACAATATGTTCTTTCCAACTCCTGTTGTTATGATTAATATTATTATTATTATTATTGGATAAATCCTCATAAACTTGAAATGTTATAACCTACCTGGTCAATTTAGTCGGCTGTCCTGTATCAGATACTAGATACATGGTCAAGTATTTAGAATGTTAGCATTCAAACCATGAAATCCAGTTTCAAACCATACTATGGTCAATTTCTCAAGGAAGTGATTTCATGATAATATTTTATCCTGTGGGGAGATGATCCCAGCCATTGTTGGGAAGTGCCTGAAAACCATACCACGGGTTGACCCGATCCTTGCAAGGGAAATTGCATAGCTGAAATTACCATCAATGGCTGTGTGAGCATGAAGTCACAAGGGGCTGAGGGGTTGAGCATGCTAGCTTTGTTTACTGACAGCTCATACAATATTACATGCTTTCTCTTAGAATTATTCTCATGACAGTCATTCAGATGACCTCTCCTCTTTGGTACCTCAACTTGATGAATTTAAATGCATTACTAGATTAGAAGCTAGGTCTCATTATTTTACTATTGAAATTGCTAGATATAACCATAAGTTTTATTTTAATAGGGAAGCAAGAAGCCAGAAGAACACTCTTCCGGCTTCTTGCTTCCCTGTCACCTACAATCTTCAAAAATTTAAATGCATCATCAGCTGGCATCTTAGCTTACAGCCATATCACACTGAAACACCAGCTCCCATGTGATCACCAAAGTTAAGCAATGTTAAACCTGGTCAGTACCTAGATGGGTGATCACTTGAGAATATCAGGTGCTGTAAGCTTGGATGTGCATGATGGAATGGATAATGGTTAATTGGAGAGCTGAGTCCCAATTCTCATTGAGTGTGTTATATTCACTTATGTTCAAATACCTTTGGGAAAGGTATGAGTCCACATATTCTTCCCAGCTATGGGTTAATTAGTAAGACTTGTATCACTAAACCATTGTTACTGAAAAAATAAATTCTTAAAGGCATGTCTTTTAGATTTATTTACATTCTCTAGAATATAAATGTATACAAACTACAATGGCCACAAAGTGAGTAATCAGTTTATATATTGTGTAATATAGAATTGATCTCCCATTTCATATCCATATTATAATTTTTTGTTTGTTTATCAAATTCTGATTATGTACAAATTCATCTCTTCTCCCCACAGCTATGGTTTAATTAGTAAGACTTGTATCACTAAACTGTTATCTCAAAAAGAAATTCTTACAATCTAAAAATATTTTTTGGCTTTAAATAACGTGCAAGGGGTTGATAAACCGTAGATAATGAATAGATCAATCAATTGCTATTTTCTGTCTTCCTGAATCTTTATTTTTTTCTTATTGCTCTCACTCCTCAAAAACATTTTTACAATTTCTTTGACTCCTAGTAACCGCTTGCATCCACTTGCATCTTAGTGACTTTGTTGCCTTGCTTGGGGTGGAATGATTAAAAAAAATTGAACAATGCATTCAGAAGTTGGTAACTCAGTGTGTGTAAAGAATTAAAGAAATCTGGTGTCAAATAATTGGTGAAAGGTTCATCCTTTTTCTACCGGCATCATGATGATCATCTTTCTGGACTTTTTTCTGATAAATGTTGATTTCATATGAATCGGAATAAAATTATTTGGGTAAGTGTTAGAAAATCTTTGAAAGTGGTAAGGTGACAGATGGCACATTTACCAGGGCTGAGAATTCCACATAACATTATCACTGTCACAGATTGAAATTCTTCTTTTGAGTATATATACTAATTAAGGTATCTCATGCATCAAAATAAAAAATGATTTGAACCAAAAGAAATCAATGCGCTCTCCTCTGTCAACTATTGATCAACTTAACTGAGCAGTTAATCAACACACATCCCAGCATCAGTCACACTTGAGTTTCAAATAGTTGGGGTGGTTGGAATAAAAGGAATGACCAGATTATTTTTTTAAATATGTTTTTCAGTAGTATGCTTTGTCCTAAAATACCTTATATTTCTTGCCAGAATCCATCTTACATATTTATAAATCTATCATTCACGCTTGCTTTGTATATTGCTGCCACATCTGGTCTGGTGCTCCTGCTATATATTTTGTTGTAACATATCTACGCAAGATAAATGGTATATTCCCATTCACATAAATACTGGTATATTCCCATTCACATAAATACTGGTATATTCCCATTCACATAAATACAATAGTAAATACTGCTGTTGGAGATTCATTGTAGAATTTACTTGACTTACTTCTAGCAGTTGACTACTACTTCTGTATGCTGCTGGCGAATCTTATATGTGTTGTTCTTGTCTTAAGTATTATTGTCCACTACCAACCTTCATATGATTATTCTATTCAGTAACCTTCCCTAGATTACAACATATTTAGAGATTCTTGATAAAATCCTAAGAAGAATCATCAATGTTATTGGTCCTGACCTAACATCTCTGCATCAGTTGCTTTCCCACTGATGTAACATAGTGTCTCTGTACTTTTTCTATAAATACTTATATGGTAATTGTTCTGATGGGCTTTTCTCTCTTGTACATAGATTATATGAATTTAAGTGCTGTACGAGATTGGTAGTAAGGTATCATCATTTTACAATTGAAATGGCTAGATGTAGCTGTAAGTTCTATGCTGACAGTTTCTTCTCTCTCCCGGTATTACATCCATGGCCTTATAGATTGGTGGCAAGGTCTCATCATTTTACAGTTGAAATGGCTAGATGTAGCTGTAAGTTCTATGTTGACAGTTTCGTCTACCGCACTAATGACTTGTGGAAATTCTCTTCTGGTTTCTTGCTTTCCAGTCAATTTCATTCTTTTTGTCCTCTTAATTCTTGCTCTTTTAGTGTTCCCTCTACTTAATAGTGTTTTTTTTCTCTCTCATATTCTCTAGCACTTAGTAATGCCTTGGACTGGGCAGGGGCTGTCCAATTGCATAGACAGGAAAGCACAAACAGGTTGATACATTGGCTTGATATGCAATGATCGATGGCAAATTATAAGCAATGCAGTCAACTTCAATAGCATCATTCAATCAGTACTAGTTAGCTAAATACTGTAGTTGCTAGTAAGATTTGTGACAACTCATACTGAATTGTACTTACAATATAAATATATTTATTCATACTCCCACTCAATAGAATGCAATACAAGGTTAAAGTTCAAAGCGGGATTTTGTAGCAGTATAAAAATTGCATGAGTCCATTTGGTAATTCTCATATTGGTGATACAGCAGGCATTGGATAATAACCACAGCCCACTCTTGAAGGGGAGATTCCTGGGGGAATGGCTCTCTGAGGTTCAAGACTAATAACACTATGTAACATGATTTTTATCCTTGGGTTGCAACTTTTATTTCTTCTTTGTTTATGCCTAAAAAAATTTGCTTTTGTGACCAGGATAATGATATTTCTGAAATTTACCTATTTCCATTAGGAAACCTGGTGTTTCTCATTCACACAAAGTAAGAACAAAATGATATATGATTCAAAAGTAGCATTTATTTATTCTAGGATTACACAAGAACATTCTCATTCATGCAAATTAGGAACAAAATGATATATAATTCAAAAGTAGCACTTATTTATTCTAGATTTGCAAAAGAGAGACCATAAAAAATTTAGAAGTGAGTAGTTTTTCAGTTTACATTTATACTGTAAATTAATTTCCCAAATCAGCCTGAAAATATAGTCACCTATCATGTTTTTGTTATACGGTCCTTGGTAACCAGAACGTTGTGAAACTTCTCCTTCAATAATTCCATGATAAATCTGTCTGGAATGTAATGGAAAATAGGCTAGTTTCAAAACATTGGTGTCCAGGGCCCACAAATAAATTTTGAAGGGTATAATAGTCATTTTCTATGATTTCTATACAGAAGTAATTAGGAAATAACATTTACTGACCAAAAAAAAAGTCCAAATTTTGTTATACAGTGAACTCCCACCCTCAGTCTACAAAAGTACAGAGCTACAAAGGATAAGAAGTTGTGGAAAGCCATGATCCATTCATGTCTTGAAGTGACATGGTACATAGCAGTACAACAAAAACCTGACACCACCAACAACTTTCTGGTTGCATAGATAAGCAAGTGTCAACAAACCAATATATTGGCTTGATATGATATAGATGGCAGATGATAAGCAACATGGTCAACTAAAACCGCATAGATGTTCGCTGAATACCATGTTTGCTTGTAAGAGTTGTGGCCACAATCACTGAATGCAAGTGTATTTATCCCTGCTTCCACTCAAAAAGGAAAATGACACAAGGTCAGAGTTCAAAGCGAGATTTGGTAACCAGGCAAAAATTGCTCAAGACCTCCTTGACACTTCACCTTTCAGGGTCACCTTAGTTACCAGGTAATAACCCCAGTTCTACCTGAGGTAAAAGATAATGCCGGAGGGTGAAGGAACTTTTCATTGTAATATGTATGGGTATTCATGCTCCAATTTGCATAGAACATAAGGTCAAAGTTTGAAGTTGGATTTGGTAGCTCTAAAAAAAAAAAAAATTACTTGAGATTTCTTCTGAAGGAGAGGTAAGGCTTGTGATATGGAAATGGCTTCTTGAAGCCTTGAGACTGATATTCATTTGATATCCTCTGGTCCAGTGTGGAAGCAATTGAAAAACAACATTACTAGTAAATGCAGTTCTTTATGCCACATCACTTGGGTTAGTCAAGGGGCGTGTCCGTTTGACAGAGAAGAATGGAAGGAGCTAGTTAATGGTGCTAAGGATGTTATTAAAAATATAAAAGGTGGACCATGTGATATTGTTTTCTTGAAACTTGGTGATTTATCTGATCCGGAATTAGGAGTCTCCTGTGGTGCATCACATGTGAACATGATTGATGTAGTTTTCACAGCTGGGGGCCTATCTCGTATTCCTTATTGGAAAGAAAGAAAAATGTTGTCCTTCAACTTGGAAATCCAAGAAAATATACAGCAGCTGAATCTTTAACCATGTTTGAAAGTCTTGATGCTGCTTCCCTTCATTGATATTTATTGAATTATTCATTCTTTAATAAACTAAAGGAAATCAATAATCCCCATGTCTGTTTTACCAATGACAAACCATTGTCTGAAAATAGACATTGTATAGTTACCAGTGAAAAACATCTTAGAATTGACTTTCTATGATCTTGAACCTTCATGGACATGTGTCCTGGGTATGATAATGAACTACATCTGGCAGTGAGGCTTCTGATCAGCAAGTTTTGAGGAGTGTGGAACCATCTTTTAATTGCTGTTATTCCCAGATTCACCCTGACCTGAGGTGGTAGCACCTGTTAGGGTTCCAGCTATGGGATCAAAACACAAACTGGGCCCAAAACACAACGAAAGTATAAAAATAGATTTTTATAGAAAAAATGCCAGCATTAGATTTTTGAAAAAAAAATATATTATGGGCAGTACATTTGACTCTCAACAAAAACCCTCTTTACAAAAAATACATCAGTGAAACCTGATCTACAAACTGATTTCTTACAAAGAATACATTCTATTCATATAAACCTATACTAAAAATCTTGACGGCATTAAATAATCCATTGAGGTTGATATGCTGTAAAACAAAACAAAATAAACCAAACCTTCATGGGCCACAAAAATACAAAGTGCCAAAAGGACAGCTTTTCCCTTGACACTGCTATTATTTTAACTACCTTCACTCCTCAGCAATGTTTATTGTTTTTAAAAAAGTGATGATTAGACTTTTAACAAAACTTAAATATATGAAAGTGAAATTATACATTTCCTTTGTTCTTGAGAATATAAAAACAATTTCTTA